TAACCCTAACCCTAACCCTAACCCTACCCTAACCCTAACCCTAACCCTAACCCTAACCCTAACCCTACCCTAACCCTAACCCTAACCCTAACCCTAACCCTTCTCTAACCCTAACCCTAACCCTAACCCTAACCCTAACCCTAACCCTAACCCTAACCCTAACCCTAACCCTAACCCTACCCTAACCCTAACCCTAACCCTATCCCTAACCCTAACCCTACCCTAACCCTAACCCTAACCCTAACCCTAACCCTAACCCTTCTCTAACCCTAACCCTAACCCTAACCCTAACCCTAACCCTTCTCTAACCCTAAACCTTTCCCTAACCCTAACCCAAACCCTACCCTTACCTTAGTAAATCCCTTTTTTTAACCTGAAATATCACTTATTATCACTGAAATCCCTGTTTTTCCCCTAAAATATCGCTTATTTTCATAGAAATCCCTGTTTTTCCCCTAAAATATCGCTTATTTTCACAGAAATCCCTGTTTTTCCCCTAAAATGTGGCTTATTTTCACAGAAATCCATGTTTTTCCCCTAAAATATCGCTGATTTTCACAGAAATCCCTGTTTTTCCCCTAAAATATTGCTTATTTTCATAGAAATCCCTGTTTTTCCCCTAAAATATCGCTTATTTTCATAGAAATCCCTGTTTTTCCCCTTAAATATCGCTTATTTTCACAGAAATCCCTGTTTTTCCCCTAAAATATCGCTTATTTTCACAGAAATCCCTGTTTTTCCCCTAAAATATCGCTTATTTTCACAGAAATCCCTGTTTTCCCCCTAAAATATCGCTTATTTTCATAGAAATCCCTGTTTTTCCCCTGAAATATCGCTTATTTTCACAGAAATCCCTGTTTTTCCCCTAAAATATCGCTTATTTTCACAGAAATCCCTGTTTTTCCTGTAAATATTGCTTATTTTCATGGAAATCCCTGTTTTTAACCTTAAATATCGCTGATTTTCACAGAAATCCCTGTTTTTCCCCTAAAATATCGCTTATTTTCACAGAAATCACTGTTTTTCCCCTAAAATGTGGTTTATTTGCACAGAAATCCCTGTTTTTCCCCTAAAATATCGCTTATTTTCACTGAAATCCATGTTTTTCCCCTAAAATATCACTTATTTTCACAGAAATCCCTGTTTTTCCACTAAAATATCGCTTATTTTCACAGAAATCCCTGTTTTTCCCCTTAAATATCGCTTATTTTCACAGAAATCCCTGTTTTTCCCCTAAAATATCGCTCATTTTGATAGAAATCCCTGTTTTTCCCCTAAAATATCGCTTATTTTCACAGAAATCCCTGTTTTTCCCCTAAAATATCGCTTATTTTCACAGAAATCCCTGTTTTTCCCCTAAAATATCGCTTATTTTCATAGAAATCCCTGTTTTTCCCCTTAAATATCGCTCATTTTGATAGAAATCCCTGTTTTTCCCCTAAAATATCGCTTATTTTCACAGAAATCCCTGTTTTTCCCCTAAAATATCGCTTATTTTCACAGAAATCCCTGTTTTTCCCCTAAAATATCGCTTATTTTCACAGAAATCCCTGTTTTTCCCCTAAATATCGCTTATTTTCACAGAAATTCCTGTTTTTAACCTAAAATATCGCTTATTTTCACAGAAATCCCTGTTTTTCCCCTAAAATATCGCTGATTTTCACAGAAATCCCTGTTTTTCCCCTAAAATATAGCTTATTTTCACAGAAATCCCTGTTTTTCCTCTAAAATATCGCTTATTTTCACAGAAATCCCTGTTTTTCCCCTAAAATGTGGCTTATTTTCACAGAAATCCCTGTTTTTCCCCTAAAATATCGCTTATTTTCATAGAAATCCCTGTTTTTCCCCTAAAATATCACTTATTTTCCTTGAAATCCCTGTTTTTCCCCTAAAATATCGCTTATTTTCACAGAAATCCCTGTTTTTCCCCTGAAATATCGCTTATTTTCACAGAAATCCCTGTTTTTCCCCTAAAATATCGCTTATTTTCACAGAAATCCCTGTTTTTCCCCTAAAATATCGCTTATTTTCACAGAAATCCCTGTTTTTCCCATAAAATATCGCTTATTTTCATAGAAATCCCTGTTTTTCCCCTAAAATATCGCTTATTTTCAAAGAAATCCCTGTTTTTCCAATAAAATATCGCTTATTTTCACAGAAATCCCTGTTTTTCCCCTAAAATATCGCTTATTTTCACAGAAATCCCTGTTTTTCCAATAAAATAGCGCTTATTTTCATAGAAATCCCTGTTTTTCCCCTAAAATATCGCTTATTTTCAAAGAAATCCCTGTTTTTCCAATAAAATATCGCTTATTTTCATAGAAATCCCTGTTTTTAACCGAAAATATTGCTTATTTTCACAGAAATCCCTGTTTTTCCCCTAAAATATCGCTTATTTTCATAGAAATCCCTGTTTTTCCCCTAAAATATCGCTTATTTTCACAGAAATCCCTGTTTTTCCCCTAAAATATCACTTATTTTCATAGAAATCCCTGTTTTTCCCCTAAAATATCGCTTATTTTCACAGAAATCCCTGTTTTTCCCATTAAATATCGCTTATTTTCACAGAAATCCCTGTTTTTCCCCTAAAATGTCGCTTGTTTTCACAGAAATCCCTGTTTTTCCCCTAAAATATCACTTATTTTCACAGAAATCCCTGTTTTTCCCCTAAAATGTGGCTTATTTTCATGGAAATCCCTGTTTTTCCCCTAAAATATCGCTTATTTTCATAGAAATCCCTGTTTTTCCCCTAAAATATCGCTTATTTTCACAGAAATCCCTGTTTTTCCCCTAAAATATCGCTTATTTTCACAGAAATCCCTGTTTTTCCCCTAAAATATCGCTTATTTTCACAGAAATCCCTGTTTTTCCCCTAAAATATCGCTTATTTTCATAGAAATCCCTGTTTTTAATCTAAAATATCGCTTATTTTCACAGTAATCCCTGGTTTTAACCGAAAATAGCGCTTATTTTCACAGAAATCCCTGTTTTTCCCCTAAAATGTCGCTTGTTTTCACAGAAATCCCTGTTTTTCCCATAAAATATCACTTATTTTCACAGAAATCCCTGTTTTTCCCCTAAAATGTGGCTTATTTTCATGGAAATCCCTGTTTTTCCCCTAAAATATCGCTTATTTTCATAGAAATCCCTGTTTTTCCCCTAAAATATCGCTTATTTTCACAGAAATCCCTGTTTTTCCCCTAAAATATCGCTTATTTTCACAGAAATCCCTGTTTTTCCCCTAAAATATGTGGCTTATTTTCACAGTAATCCCTGTTTTTAACTGAAAATATCGCTTATTTTCATAGAAATCCCTGTTTTTAATCTAAAATATCGCTTATTTTCACAGTAATCCCTGGTTTTAACCGAAAATAGCGCTTATTTTCACAGAAATCCCTGTTTTTCCCCTAAAATATCGCTTATTTTCACAGAAATCCCTGTTTTTCCCCTAAAATATCGCTTATTTTCACAGAAATCCCTGTTTTTCCCCTAAAATATCGCTTGTTTTCACAGAAATCCCTGTTTTTCCCCTTAAATATCGCTCATTTTCACAGAAATCCCTGTTTTTCCCCTAAAATATCGCTTATTTTCACAGAAATCCCTGTTTTTCCCCTAAAATATCGCTTATTTTCACAGAAATCCCTGTTTTTCCCCTAAAATGTGTTTTATTTTCATAGAAATCCCTGTTTTTCCCCTAAAATATCGCTTATTTTCACTGAAATCCATGTTTTTCCCCTAAAATATCACTTATTTTCACAGAAATCCCTGTTTTTCCACTAAAATATCGCTTATTTTCACAGAAATCCCTGTTTTTCCCCTTAAATATCGCTTATTTTCACAGAAATCCCTGTTTTTCCCCTAAAATATCGCTCATTTTGATAGAAATCCCTGTTTTTCCCCTAAAATATCGCTTATTTTCACAGAAATCCCTGTTTTTCCCCTAAAATATCGCTTATTTTCACAGAAATCCCTGTTTTTCCCCTAAAATATCGCTTATTTTCCTAGAAATCCCTGTTTTTCCCCTTAAATATCGCTCATTTTGATAGAAATCCCTGTTTTTCCCCTAAAATATCGCTTATTTTCACAGAAATCCCTGTTTTTCCCCTAAAATATCGCTTATTTTCACAGAAATCCCTGTTTTTCCCCTAAAATATCGCTTATTTTCACAGAAATCCCTGTTTTTCCCCTAAATATCGCTTATTTTCACAGAAATTCCTGTTTTTAACCTAAAATATCGCTTATTTTCACAGAAATCCCTGTTTTTCCCCTAAAATATCGCTGATTTTCACAGAAATCCCTGTTTTTCCCCTAAAATATAGCTTATTTTCACAGAAATCCCTGTTTTTCCTCTAAAGTATCGCTTATTTTCACAGAAATCCCTGTTTTTCCCCTAAAATGTGGCTTATTTTCACAGAAATCCCTGTTTTTCCCCTAAAATATCGCTTATTTTCATAGAAATCCCTGTTTTTCCCCTAAAATATCACTTATTTTCCTTGAAATCCCTGTTTTTCCCCTAAAATATCGCTTATTTTCACAGAAATCCCTGTTTTTCCCCTGAAATATCGCTTATTTTCACAGAAATCCCTGTTTTTCCCCTAAAATATCGCTTATTTTCACAGAAATCCCTGTTTTTCCCCTAAAATATCGCTTATTTTCACAGAAATCCCTGTTTTTCCCATAAAATATCGCTTATTTTCATAGAAATCCCTGTTTTTCCCCTAAAATATCGCTTATTTTCAAAGAAATCCCTGTTTTTCCAATAAAATATCGCTTATTTTCATAGAAATCCCTGTTTTTCCCCTAAAATATCGCTTATTTTCACAGAAATCCCTGTTTTTCCAATAAAATAGCGCTTATTTTCATAGAAATCCCTGTTTTTCCCCTAAAATATCGCTTATTTTCAAAGAAATCCCTGTTTTTCCAATAAAATATCGCTTATTTTCATAGAAATCCCTGTTTTTAACCGAAAATATTGCTTATTTTCACAGAAATCCCTGTTTTTCCCCTAAAATATCGCTTATTTTCATAG